CATAATTATGAATTATTTCCAAGCTTAAAAAATTAAAACCAAAAAGCAAATGGAGCGACTTTCATTCGCCGTAATGAACATTTTCTTACCGGGACTCCATTGGCACTACGAGATCCTTCAAAAGCAGTAGAATCAGCAGGACGCTAATCGATGGTAACAAATATGTACAGACTGTACTTCCGCTTGAAAAATGATTATTATCTCCGGACATTTCGCAAATATTTAAACGTTTTAAAAATATTGACGAATCCCTTGAAATGAGGAATAATTTTGAACAGTTGGGATAAGAAATCTCGGGCAACAGATACATACATATTTACGGAAATCCGTCCGGAAAAATAATCCACTACTGTCTGCGAGAAAGCATTGCGCTCGCATCATCCACGCGGAAGCCGTGATGGTGCCTGTACTTTAGCCTTCATAACTTTTTCTTTATGTGCAAAATCGTTCATCCCACAATTGTCCATGTTGGTGATAAAACGAACAAACAGCCGGCTCGACAATCAGTCAACCATCGAACTAAATTAACTTGTATAACAGTTTCACTGGCCTTGAGTATGAGCCGCCGTTGGTTATCAACTCTGCACGCCCTTTTTTCCATCATCAATACACCATGGGAAAACGTCATACCGGCGGGAGCGAACAGCCAGCGCACAAAATGTTTTAGAAAATAGGAAGAAGATTAAATTTTGTGATCCCTTGCATTTTAGGCAGCCGCTTATATTGTTGTTATTATGTACCAAGAATTGCAGTACCTGATTACTGAGTTTTTTAACACACCTTTTTCTTTAGAATGTCTACAAACTTTTCGTGTCTTTTGACAGTACATACAATGATTTATTCGTGTGCTTTGCTCTGGCGGGCGGGGCCCGGCTGTTGCCAATATACAAAGTATCTCTTTCCAACTCTTCTGGCCGCTGTATCTGTTGTACGACCTGTTATCTCTGTTTTTGTACATTTTATTTTTTACTCCAGGCGACGGCTGACTGTACAGCAGAATTATCAGAAATGAATATCTGCTTAAAGTAAGTTATGCGAAAATCGTATTACAAAGTATATTTGCAGTGTAGTCCATCTGCATACCCGTACCAGTATAACCTAAACACCAGAAGGTACACTCTTCGATTAGCTGCGAAATCGTTCTACCCAGCAGGTGCATGTACAAAAACCAAAATGCGCGTAGCTCTACGGACCGCTTTAGTGCGCCCAGTGATTTATTAAATATTCAGAGAATTTAGCAGTCGAATTCATTTATCATAATAATTTTTTCATAAACATAATTTATCATTTAATTTATCATATATTTATTTATCACAATGATTTATCATAAAATAATTTATCATAATAATTTATTATAAACTAAATTTTGAGATTAAGATAGCTAGTGCAGTGCCTGCTTTCTAACCGCCGCCGACGCGCTTAATATGCATTACCTGTACATGCATTACCTCTCAGCGACATAACAGTCAGTCACTCCACTACGGCCAATACTACAGATATAGTTAGTCACTCCACTACGGCCAGTACTGCACCAGTACAGAATATTAAGCAGGACAAATACAGATACTATCTGTAGCTGAGGTCTGAGGAATATATTCAAGTCGGCTGGGAAACCTCCTGCGTAAAGATGCACGAAATTCCACACCCAACTTGAATATCATCCTCCGATAAAGCGGAATGCATCAGTAAGACATCGTAATAATGCCGAACTTTTCATCCAGATTGAAAGAAACTAAACGAATGCTCATTTTATGGGGCAGCTGCAGGTATGTCCGTTATATTTTTCAATAAGCCAAAGGAAAAAATCCAGCCAGACGTTGGATCTCTATGTTATAATGTAGAAAACCTCATTAACGAACATCACTGGCACCCGGAACGAGAATATAATCTTCTTAACGACAAACAAACTGCCGTACTAAATCGATACGATGAAAACCGCGATCGGTTTGCAAAAATTAATGTTCTTCTTGATTCTTATCGGACACTTACCGGCTAATTTGGCAAATAGTGATACTTCCGCTGGATACAAGGTCCGTAAAACCGTAATGTATAGAGCATAGTACTTGATTCAGGAAAATGCAGTACAAGTACGACAGCTTGTCAACATAAGGCTGTCTCGCCACGCACTTTAAATACATTCTGTAAGATAAAGTGGCGGAAGTTCTCTAAAACAGCTTCTACCAATGGCACAGCGCTTAATCTTACAGAGCGTTACAGAGCAACGAGACCACACTCAACATTTTTCCTGTTACAGTATGCAGTCAAAACCTTTAGCGTACAGCGAGTTCCGCACTCACATCACAAACTGATTTTTCACAAATTACATTTCGATACGGGCGTTGTTTACTTTATTTTTGCTAGTGCAGCTTTTTATTGCGGATGCAGTGATGTCAAAATTGGAACGATTAGTGCTAGTAGTGAACTCAGAATAAGAAGTATCTCTCATAGAGTGGTGTGTTAAAAGGTACAGTACTGTATTATCCGAAGAATGTGGTTGCCTAGAGCGCGAATTGCCTTGAGCCAGGCGTTAGTGATTTAAAGGAAGTTCGAAAAAGGCAAAATGAGAAAACCAGGCTAAAACCAGAAAACCACCAAAAAAATATGTTCGGGTTCAAGGGTAGCAAGGTAAACTATTTTGTTATTACACTTGGTGAGATCGACCTGCACTTCTGGTGAGAAATGCGAGTTCTGTATCGTAACGGAGCCAGGAAAGTTCCCTTTAGATACAGAACACCTTAAACTCGAGCGTCCAATCAGCGGTGAGGGGTGGGGTCAAAACGTTACAGAACTTCCGGCACTGTATCTTACAGAACTCATTTAAAGTGCGTGTCGAGTGGGCCTATTACTGGTTAGCGCACACTTTAATTTGCCGGGGGAGTTTTTAAAGTTCCGACAGCAATAAAACCTGCTGGTATTACAGTAGTTACTGATGACGTCGTATGGGAAGCTTCCACTGCCTTTTCGAATACGCTGGGCAATGAAGTGTATTTCATATGGATTCTCGTCTGCAATAAATTTTTTTACATATGCTCTTTCCAAAAGACGAAAACGTCAGCGCGTTTCACTTCGAAGAACTTTCCATTTACTAACACTGTATAATTAGCATTGTTTAAATTGTTATTGGGTGGCGTACGAATAAATTATAAATATGTATAGGTATGTATGTATACCGGCGTCAGCTGCATAGTCGTACTTGAAACCACCAAAAGATATCCCGTTTGCCCAGTTGCGAAAGCGTTTTACGTGCCTATACAGAACATAATGAGCGTAATAATTATTCTACAAAGCGTTGCTGCGCGCAGTGAGAGTCGTTTTCAGTTTACGGTTGTGCATGACCTGTCGAAGCCGGCTTATTCCCATACAGTTATCGACTTGGCTGCAAACTAGCACGTACGCTCCGCATTACATTTGAATAGCAAGCGGAGCGTACGCTCGAGATCTATCAACCAGAAGAAGAGTGACCTTTGCAGTATTAAACATGAGTCCCAACAATCACACGTGTTGCTCGCAAACCAGGTACGGGTATACGTAGGGTTGTGGATACCAAAATATTGGTAACTAGTATTGTGGTACGGCTGATATACCATTTACCAATGGTATATCAGGCAGGGGTCAAATGGTACAATTTGTTACCAGATATTTACCAGATAAAATTTGGTATACCAAATTGCGTATAGTATTTCCAAAAACTTACTGAATTCGTTGTGTATGGTTGTAGGAAATGACAGAAAATTGTGGAGCGGTTAAAAAATTGTCAGGCCCGTCTATTGCTATCGGAGTCAAGCATGCTAGTGAATTTCTTGCGCTTCTCTTCCTTAATGCTGTACATAGTCAGTAGACTCAGTACCGTATGTATAATTTGCTCATTAGTCATTACCATGGGCAGTGTACATTTATATCAGTTAGAAATTCTTCTGCAATTCAATGCTGAATAACTTTTCATTGCAGTTTTCGAATCGAACACAAATTAATCTGTTTGATTCGGAAACTAGTTAAAAAATAATACACTTAAACTTTGAGCAATTACTGTCAGCTCCTGTCGTGAATTCAGCCAGCTGCTCTTCCAGGCGGTTCTAGCATTGACTTTGAATAAATTGGTGATCAGTCCGAGTCTCCAAGGCTGTCCAAACGTTTTATTTCAGCGGTGGTGGGTCGACTAGTAGATGTAGAAATGTTTAAATGACTGTTTTGTTAACATTTTGCGATTTATTTCGAAGGCGAAAATTCCTAATAAATTGTCTTTACTAGTTAAAACTTATACCTGATATAATTTCAACAAAAAAAGCCAAATACCATAGTAATTTTAGAATAACTTTCCAGCAGGGAAAATCTAACTGACCCACAGTTCCAATTCATAGCTTAAAAAAAATCACAAACACGCCGTCGGACCTTAGCGAGCGAAGTAGCCAACAGTGTGACAATTCGGTCAGGCATGCCTCCATAGAAACATTTCTTCATACCCCATCCATAGAAGTACAGACATTGGGCTACACATCTTCCGGATATGGACTGTACTGTCTTTGTTCTTCTCTTAATATAACACATTATCACCGCATAAAAATGGAAAGTCAAATGATTTTATGTTCCAGGCAAAGTGATCTATATCACAGCGTAACATCCCAAGGAAACAGCTCCAGTGTGCATTACTTATGGCATCCGCTATGCACAAGAAACAAGTTGTCTTTAGTCTCGGTTAACACTGGCTAACCAGTCAGGATTTAGTTAATTACTAAAAAATTTTTTAAGTACTAAAAATTTAGTCGCCGACGTTTATCAGCATAAAACTTTAAACAAAGTCAGTTTTGGCTCAGTTCAGTATGTATTTTTTTAGTATTTGCCATCTCTAAAGAAGACGAGCAATTACAGTACTCTGTACATGGAAAACCCCCAATCCCCGTGGATGTTAGTATGTATACGATGCCCCAGGTTATTTGTAACATGAGCGTTTCATGATTTTTGCACGTTCTGTTTGCCGTATTTTTTTAGCCGCGAAGGCGTTGTTGTCGTTGCAAAAAATAATTTTCCCGGGGTTATACATAACTCGGTACAGACGCCAACAGGACATTTGAGATATCGTTGAGAAAATGAAAGATATAAAGCATCACTTCCCTTACACTGCTTGTTTTTCTGTTTTTGTACATGTTAACATATTCTCTCCTTTTTTGTGCGAGTGTTGATGTTTCTCCCGTAACCTAACCGCTTCTTCATAAGTATAATGAAAACGCAGATTTTTCGTTACATTCTGGCTGCAGTGCTTTTTCATAGCACGGTAGCAATCGCAGATGAAGATGAAGATATTGCAATAACAGAGGGTAAGTGTTAACCATATGAAAATCAATTATCAGTTCCAGTATCTTGTAGATTTATGCCGTCAAACGGATAATTGAAAAGATGCCTAAACGGTGACTGGTTTAGGCTAAACCACAAAAGTAAAACGTGACGAAAGCAAATAATCTGCCAGTTCTTATGTAGGCAGTTATGGCAGATTTGTTCCATTTAATTTAATAGTTCTGTATTTGTTCGGGATGGCAGAGCAGTGGAAGTAAACTATTGTAGAGAATTAGTGAACCTATGATTTCCAGATGCTTTCGATGCACCGCTCAATATTTCCGATGCAAATGCCATTGCGGGAACTGGACCCAGATTGTGGCCGAACCCTAAAGCCATTCCTTACAATATATCATGGACCTACAGTAAGCACATTACATTCTGCTATTTCCAGTTTTAGTAATGCTTCTCCCGTTTCTGAAAGAAATAATCCATTTGTCACAATAAATTTAAAATTAATCTCCTGCGCGTAAAGCCCGGCAAACTAATATTGCGAGTATGTTACGTCAACGTGGTAGTTATGCCACGTATATGGACCGCAGTTACAGCAGTACAACTGACTACATAAAGCGTCCGTGCCAAATATAATGAATAAAACTTTATGCAGATGACACAGAACGACAGGTCATTCTCAAAGTTCTCCGCACAATGGAAAGAATGACGAAAAGATGTATTTTGTTCCAACCCAGGACGTTCGAATCTGATTACCTCACCTTTGAGTCGGGGAATTCCATCGGGTATGTCAGAGAACTCGTTGGCGGTTAAAAAACAGTAAATCATAATTTGAGCAGTAAATATTTATGGTTTTCGCCAGTTGCTCTTCCGACCTTGGAAGAACGTCTGGAAGACAAGCTATTTACCTGGGGAATCCATCCTACCAGTCACAGCATTTCCTGCCGACTTGTTTTGATCCCATTAACATTCAGCTAGAAGTGATGCTTGCACTCGGCTTTGACTTTGAGCAGAAACGTCCAGATCGAGACCAGTATGTCGAGGTGCGTAATGCCAGCATTTCGAGCGCTTTTCAGTCCTACTTTGCGGTCAATCCATCGATGTATACGTTTGGGACCAAGTACGACTACCATTCCGTTCTACACCTGAGCGGCTTCGCTGCGGCGAACGTGTTTCCCCCGAAACCCGGCATGATATCGAAAAACGGTTTGGTCATAAGCATGGGACGGCGAAAGCGTCTCGCTGCGGGTGACGTCGCCAAGATCATGATTGCTTACAAATGTCCACTTAATATCACGCGCGGTAGCAACCAGTCTGACACGAGCTCAGATTTTCCGATTTTCTCTAGCGAACCAATGACTGAGGAGAAATGCGGCGTACAATTTAACAGTGACTGCTCGTCCGACGTTTCCACGATCGAGAACTGCACATATCGAATTGATTTCCGTATTGTTTGCCGATCTAACGCATCGGTTACCGTATTGCAGCGGATGGCGGTGGCTATGGCTGAGCCACCGCTACGACTGGTTTCCATAAATGTGGAAGAACAACTTATTGCAAACTACTCCTTTTCGCCATTGCAACGCCAAGTCGTCAAACTACAGTTGCACAACTGCAGCACCGAGCGCGTGACCTCGAGACTAAGTGACCTGAACTTCACCAACCTTCTAGATTTTCAGCTCAATGGTTGTCGCAACCTGTCTGTCAAAAAGGAGGACTTTACGGTTTCTAAGCGGCTCCGGGTGGTTGTATTTTACAACACTACTATAAATGTCATGCAGCTGGGTTCCTTTACTGATATTCCCGACCTGCAGATATTGTCAGTGGAAGCGCGGCTGGACGACCGAAGAAACTACAGTTTCGACCAGTCGTTCCGAAGTTTCTTGCAAAATCTCCACTGCAGCTGCGAATTTGCTTGGTATCGATCGTGGTGGCGAAAAACGAAAACTTTGCTACTGCGAACAGAAATCGGCGAAGTGTATACTTTTGAATCCATGTTTCAAAGTTTGGAAAACGCTAAGTATACCAAAAAGGATCTTTATCATCCGATAGACTGCCACGCTGACCCTTTTCCTGTAGGCCCAGAATGGGTTAATTACTCACAAATCGAATATTCTGTCAACGAACCAGGCTGTAATGGTACCGTATTCTAGAATTTTACAGTAGATATTGTATTGTACCTCCGCTGACTACAGGCCAGCACTACTGTAGTACCAGCGAACCTTTATTCTATCAGTGAACTTATTTTCTGGACAGAGTGTGGCACTGATCTTTTCCTCATTTACCAATAAAATAATATTTTCCTTTGCTAAAAATGTTCGACCGTTCTACGCACAGTTGCGGCATTATAATTCTACGCATGGTTCCGTTGTATCAAGCGCTACGCCTGCAGCGACTTATCCTGATGCCAGGTCATTTCAAATTTGTATTTAATGGATGTATTACTGCTTTTAATTCTGATAGACGTGCTGCCGCTTTTGTTATACTACTTTCCAAATTCGCCTTCGCCGTTTAAAGCGAAAGATGTTACGAAGAAATGAATAATTTCAGACAGTCTTCATAATATGTATATAGTATTGCTTTTGGTCAGTCTTTTGTGGTTTTGGTCGAGTGCCTCCAAACCTGGATAACATGAGTCTCCACAATCACATGATATGAGCTGTCCAAAAGATATACATAGTAATGGTAAACCAGCAGGAATATTTCCCAACGGCTTACTTTACAAGTTCGCAGCAGGAAAACCCCGACTGACTCACCGTTCCATATCCTGACGAACGACAGACACGCGAACAAGCCATCCGACCGTAGCGGGCGAAGTAGCCAACAACGTGACAGTTCAGTTAAGATTCCATTATCTGCAATTTTTCACTCTATCGATAAAATTACAGTCAGTTTACTGCAAAATCAAAATGTATGGATGGAGAATGACGAAATGCAGGCGAATCTACTCCAAAGTGCCAGGCAGTGGCGAATTTAAGGGGGGGGGGCTCGAGGGTCCTTGGCCTCCCCCCTCCCCGTAGCCTGCGGATTTGGGTACTTCAAAATAAGCAATAGTACCCCCTTCGGAAATTTATTGTGAAAAATTCGGCAGGTTGTGAAAAATTGGTGATGCCCCCTCCCCCCTCCATAGCAAAGTCTAAAGGGTGGGTAAATTAAAAACTATCATCAGATGCTTTCAAAATATTTTTTAACTTTTATTAAAGAAATTGCTCGATAGCTTCGCGCGAAAATACTCTCTGTGGTAAATTAGGAAAATACGTAGTATATATACCATATACGTGTATATACTATTAATCGTAAATATGCAGTACCACGCATGTACATATTACGTAACGTGTGTAACCGTCCAAAACGACCGGTCTTCTCTGGCGTCCGCCAGTTGTTTTGACCTCTAAACCGTCCGAAACGACCCTGGCCACCAAAAACTTTGCTCATGCAGCTTTTTTGCGATTTACCTTTGACAAAATAATGGAATAAGTATACTTTCGTATCCGGTCGTTTCTGCCGTAGTGTACTGTACTGTACCATTTGTATCCGGACGCTTATGCCTCAGTATATTCGGATCTGGACATTTCGGCCTGAGTGGATCTGGATAGTAAATTTCCACTAAGAAATATGGACCTAGATGGTAAATCACCACCCAGAAATATGGACCTAGGTGGTAAATTGCCAGAAGTTCTAGGTGGTAATTTTACGTCCAGAATAAAACAATGTCTGCCAGAAATCAATGCAGTATAAACATCGATCGTACGTTATATCACCACGCAAAAGCTGTTCGTACTACCGTAATACATTTCTTTTAAACTGATCGCTCTTTTTCTTCTAAAGAAAATTAATCGTGCAATCGCGTAATTGTCAGCATGAGACAGATAAAAAGGGCAACTTTCGGTGCGCGGTTCGGAAGCATCACACCGAATGATTTTTCGAACAGTTTCACTAAACTGCACTGGCTGCTAAAATCTCGGAGCAGAATGTTCCCAGCATTAATGCATCGTGAGAAACATCTTGCGGACAGCCAAAATTATCTACACCCAATGATTCACTGAAAAATACCGAGATGCAACTATCC